GGTGGCGCATGGGAGAGGAAGGGAAGGACAACCAAAAGCTTCTGGCATTGGGGCCAATGACCCAAAGTTCAGATGGGAAGTTGGAGGATGTCCAGTTTGGTCCTTAAGGTTGGACAAGACTGGTGTGTGTGTGCATGTCCGTGCGTGTGCTCCCATACTGTTGTTGGGGAGTGTGGGAAGCCAGCCAGGGTCCTGCAGAGAGCCAGTGAGCCTGACCCTGAGGCTGGGAGTAGGGCTGAAGCGGGAGTTACAGCTGCACCCTGGCCGGGACAGGGCCCGATCTGTGCCTAAGGCTTCTTACCATTCTGTTGGGAGTACCTGAGAGAGGTCAAGGCCAGGCTTGGAGATCTGAATTCCCTGGGGTTTTCCTGAGCCCCTCTCCTCCAACGCTGATGCATACCCACAATTAACCCATCATAGGAGAGGGCAGGAGGAGACGGTCCTATTTTTATTATTTATTTATTTTTCCAAATCTTTCTCTTTTTTTAAAGATTTTATTGAGGGAATTGGGGGAGGGGAACAGACAAGTTGCTGTTGTTTTGTTCTTCAGTCTAGTTGTGGAGGACGTCGCTTCACTGGCCCAAGTTGGCACCATCATTGCGCTCTTCCCAGNCAGTCTAGTTGTGGAGGACGTCGCTTCACTGGCCCAAGTTGGCACCATCATTGCGCTCTTCCCAGGTGAGGCAGATCAGTCGCCAGCTTCTGGACGGCCACTCACGGCAGCTCACGAAAGCTCATGCCAGCTGCCAGCCAGCCCCACGGCAGCCCAGCTCCAGGTAGAGCTGTTGTTCACCATCTTAGCTGTAGAGAGTGCAGTGTCACTGGTCCTCATGTGGGATCTGAACCAGGGCCCTGCTGCTGAGACGTGGCATCCCAAGCCAATTCTTAACCAATGTGCCACTCGGCTGGCCCAACAGTCCTGTTTTTAGAACGCTTCTTTTCCAGGGTCCTGAAACCTTGGTTCTCCTTGTCTCAGCTCTTCACCTAGTATTGGAGACACCTGTGTCAGCCACCGCACCCTGCCAATGAGGGAGGCAGAGACCCCTCCTACAGTGTCTCCCAGGCATGGATCCAAAGCTAGCTACCCTCAGCTGGTGGGGATTTCAAGCTCTGGCCCTTTTCCTGCCTCCATCTAGGTCTGAAGACAGAGGTCCCACTCCCCTCGAAACCATGCAAGAATGGGCATAGTTGGTGACTACCCGGACTAATCTAGGAAGTGTGGGCCACCCCCCAACCTAGAGGGTGCTCAGGAAACGTCTTGACCCCTCTAAAGAAAAGCAGGCCCTTTTGTCTCTGCTCTCCCTGACCCAGACTCTGCCCTCTGCTTCCTGTGGCTGGACTGGAAAGGGTTAAGCTTGTAAGGAGAAAGCCCAATGGGCTGATCCTGGGCACTGGCAGCAGGAGTGCTGAAAAGATCCGGCCCTATTCTCTGGAGGGGGGGTGGGTGTAGTTAAGGACCCTGGGTAGGGGGCTGGAGGCTAATTAAGGGAATTTGAGGAGGTCCTTTATGGCCAGGAAGCCACCCCCCCCCCTCATACCCGGAGTGAGGCCCATTGTGTGGGAGCTTTTGTAGGCCAAGAAGTGGAAACTCATTACTGAGATGGCTTTAGTGCTTCTGGGGCCAGGGCAGATGGTGGGGGATGGTGAGAGAATGTAACCTGGGGGGCCAGTACCTCAAGGAGGCAGTGTGGGTGGGTGGGGTTGGTGAGAAGGGGAATGGGGGCGCCCAAGGTACTTTCAGCTCCCTGGACTCGCCGCTGGACCCCCTCAGCTCTGCTATGGCCTATGGCTTTTCATTCCTATGTGATTGCTGTTCCAAACTCATGTAGGGCTAAAAGCCATGGGCTACGGTAAGGGGCCTACTCCTTCCGCAGCGCCTGTATCTCCCCTCAGCACCAGGCTGGGAGCCAGCCTCAAAGGGGACACCAGATGGGGCTGTGCTTGGGGGTGGGGCTAGGCTGTGTGGCTTTGGCCAAGTTACTTCCCCTCTCTGGACCTAGTGCCTCACTCTGAAATGAAGAGGCTGGACTGGTGATTTCAGAGGGAGATTCCCTCTGAGGATGGAAGGAGACATGAGTCCGTTCCTTCCTCTTTGCCAAGTTACTGAGGTCGGTCCTGTGCTCAGGGACTGAGGGGCTGGGGTCAGGAGCATTGGGCCATGCAGCAATTGGACCTTTGCTCGGTGCCTCTAGGATAGCCTCGGTTTCTTGACCTCAGCTCGCTTCTCTATGGTCAGCTCAAATCCTCCGCCTTTTCCCGAGAGACCTCCTCGGGGACCTCTCAGTGGCTGAAAAGGGAGCGCTTAGGCTGGCCACTTGGGGAGAGGAAGTTCATCAGAGTGAAACTAGTAAGGCAGCTACTCCGCATAGCCTGCTAGTTGAAGTTCAGGGTGCCTAGCTCCCGGTCCACTACCCTGCCCAGGAATTTTCTCCCTCCTTCCTGGGTCTGTGACAGACCTGCTCACCCTGTTTCCTCCCGCCTGGCTTGCCATGCCTAGTCCTCTCCCACACCCCACACCCCCAATTTAAAAAATGCCTAACTCCATTCCAGCCATCCTGGAAGACTCCAACAGATGGAAACAAGGCAGGCATCCTGACGGGAGCGGCAGAGGAAGCACCCTCACCTCCTCTTCCCTTCCAGCCCCCAGTCTGCCTAAGACAGACCACCGAAGAGTCAGTACTATTGAGAACCAGAAGGCAAGTTACTTATGTCTCAGAGCCCTTAATTTCTCCAGCCAACATCTACCTAGTGCCTGCTATGTACTAGGCGTGATGCTATCCATCTGACTTGAACTAACTCACTTAATCCTGGAAACAACCCTTGAAAAAGGTACTGTTATTATCCCACTTTACTTATGGAAAACTGACATACAAGGGAGGTAAGAAACTGGCCCAAGTTCACATGGCTAGTAAGAGGCAGAGCTGGGATTTGAACCTCTGCTTTTTTGTGTGATTTTTTTTTCTTTAAACTTTATTGGGGGAACAGTGTGTTTTTCCAGGACCCATCAGCTCCAAGTCAAGTCGTTTTCAAACTAGTTGTGGAGGGCGCAGCTCACTGGCCCATGTGGGAATTGAACCAGTAACCTTGGTGTTATGAGCCTGCGCTCTAACCAACTGAGCCAACCGGCTCTTACCACATCATGATGGAGGTTAGTTAGGAGTGCCAACAAGTCAGTGCATAGGAAAGTACTCTGAGAACTGGAAAGTGCTGTTCTCATCCTAGGAGTTCTCACCCAGTCCCTATTGGATGCAGGTCTACAGTCTGACCCCAGGACCCAACTCTAATCACCCTAACAATAGGAGAAGCAAAGAGAAAGCCCAAGACAGCTGGGTTTTTGCTGGGGCTGATCCAAGCCACTTCCCCTCTCGCTCAGAACAGGGTGGAGAATATGCAGGGGTTTCTCACTTGCCCCCTGGGCTTTCAGGCCCAGAGATGAGAGGTGGCTAGCACCTTCCTCCACCTTCCTCTTTGTCCAGCTGCCTGGGCTCAGAATGAGCCTACCCTATTCCCTACCCTTCTCTGAGGACACCCAAACTCCTGATTTGCCTCCCTTTGCTCCCGATCTCCTAGTTGGGAAATCAGGTTAGAGCAGTGCCCGTTCTGACCCTGCGACTGGAATCCTGTTGCACAGTTTGCCGAGAAGTCCCTAGCATTGGGCTGGGCCTGGGACCAAGGGGACGGATGACCATTCCAGAGATTAAAGTTCAGCAACGCAAGGCTTGCAGTAGGGGCTGCTGGATAAATGTTTGTTGAGTGAATTGAAGGAGTTGTGAACTGCGAGAAAAGGAGGGTAGGGTAAAAGCAAGTTGCTCTAAACAGGGACAGAGCAAGCCCACAGCTCAGCAACTCACCTGAGACAGTCCCACCCTGCTGGCCTGGTGCCTGGGGGGCGCTTCTGGGGTTAGAGAGGCAGCTCCTTTCTATTCTTTGTCTCTTGACCACTGCCAGTGGGGCAGGCCTGGAAGAGAGATGCAATTATATATTTCACATAGTTGTTGAGTTGAATGAATTGAATAGGTGAGCTGACCTCATACCCTCTGTCTCCAGACACAGATCAGAGGGCTGCGTCTATCCTGTTCCCTGCTTGCAGACAGCTGAAACCTCAAATATTCTGAGCAATCTGAGTTGGTTTTTTTTAACAGTCCTCGGAGAGCCCGCAGAAGGGCCTCCCTTGGGAAAGTGGGCCCGTGTTTAACAATGCTGAGATTCAAGTGAATCTCTCTGGTTGTATTTGTGCCATTTTTCATGGAAATGGAGTTTGACTGCTAAAACTCTACTTCCTAAATGCAAAGACTATTGGGGGGAGGGAAATCTCTGTTCCGTCTTTAGAAGGGAATAACACTAAAGTTTGACCTCTGGGGTGCTTCTGGCACTGACAGTCCAGACCTCCGGGTTCCGAGCTGCTGTTGCATGTCAATGCTCAGTCATGCTTGTGATGACTCTTAGGGCCGGTCAGCCTCTGCCAAGCTGGCCTGGAAGACCTTGGAAGTCAAGGAATAGGACATTTCAAGACTTGGTGTTCTGACCCCTCCAGCTCCCATACGTGATCCCCAAGTCCCTCAGAACCACTTGTAAATGTGTGACTGCCCTTGTAGTCTTGACAGGTAGGGGGAGCTTCCCCTCTCTCTGCATAAGTGGGCAAGCAAGAAATAAGGGGCTTGTTTCTTGGGTGAGCCACCGAAGGCAGAGAAGACCTTGGCTGGGGATTTCAGGGTGCTCGGTAAGCCAGAGGCAGGAACTCAGTCTCAAGCAGGCCAAGAAGGAGTTAACCTCCAAGGAGAACTGGGACTTCTCCCAGACTGGAAGCCTGTGCCCAGCTTTGCTGCTGCCAACTCTGGGAAGAAGTCCTGGGATCTGTAGTCTGTGCCACCACCCACCCCTGGCCTGTCTGTTTATCAACACTGTCGTGGAGACTACAGTTCCCAGAAACCTACAGAGGCCAGGCTCTGGGGGGAAGGGATGGGGTGTGAGGCTCAGTGGTGGCAGGAGGGAGACGGAGAGGGAGGAGGTGGGGAGAGAAAACCCAATTCACCCCCTTCCTTTCTAATTCTTCCTCTTGGTGTGTCTGCTCCAGCGCACGAGCTAATCCCCCAAATCCGGTCTCCCAGGCCGCAGCTGCTTCCCTTCGCAGTGATGAATGGCTCAGGGAGGGAAGGTGAATTCATATTTTAATTACTGAGGCGCGGTGCTGAGGGAGCTGGGGAGGAGCGGAGGCCTCAGTATTGTTCTAGAGGCTGGGGGTGCCCCTCCTCACTGGGTCACTTCTCTTTGGCCCTTTACCTGGGGTAGGAGGTGGGGCGGTTTGAAGATGGGGGGGTTTGAAGATGGAGGGGTTGCCTTGCTGCTGCTTTGGGAAGTGAGGGGATGGGGGGTGGGAGGGACAATATCTTTTTCTTGTTTGTCAGAGAATTCCTGCCATGTTCCAACACTTGTAAATATTTTTGTACCCTTACCACCCCCACTGCCGCCCACTTTGATAGAGGACATTGACAAAATTGGAGACACACAGGAGTTTGCGGTCTGCAAGCCTAGAGCCCTGGCTTTCTCCTCATCTTAGTGTCAACCTGCTCTGAGTCCCTTCCTCCTCCTGGTTCTTCCATGTGTTCCCATGGACTCTGACCCACTGCCCCATTTTCACTAGATGTGCTGGGGCTGGAGGACCCCAGAGGGTGTCTGGCGGAGAGACGAGGGATGGGGTGAGGACCAAGGGAAGGGGTCAGCAGGGAGGCTGGGGAACCTCCTGGTGGTTTGAGATGATGCTCTTCTGCTTGGCTTCCTCCACGCTGGCTGGGCAGAGGACCCCCCATGCCCCACACCCCAGGCCATCTTGGACCTAGGATGGGGAAGAAATCAGGGAACAACAGCTTGCAGTCAGATGCAGCCAACTGTGGGATGGCAGAG